GCGTCCTACATACTATTGAGGTTCGAGTCTCCACGAACACGTATGCGCCACGTTGTCGCCGCCTTCAGCCATGCAGCCGCGTCGACGAACATATGGCAGAGCTTCGCGGTGCGCTGAGGTGCATTAGTGCGCTCTTTATCGCAGGGCTTACAGTGCTCACGGCGGCCGCCGCACCTGTATTTTTGAAAATGTTTCAGACGCGTTGAATGGTTTGCTGTATTTTCTGTTGGTTCGCGCATGGGTACACCATGACTGTCTTTCAAATGCGTCATGCACTGGTCAAACACTGTCCTGCAGAATTGAACTCCGCGTTGTACTTGAGTCCACGGCTGTCTTTCAATAGCCCAAATCGCCACAGGTTGTCCACGCATCCAATAGCGACCTAGCGTCTCGTGAAGGAACGCAGCCTGGCCGCAGTACTTGATATGTGGTAGGTCCGTGTAGCGGTGATTCTTCCAGGTGTTGTAGTTGGCTCTGCTATTGGCCAAGAAGTTTGACCTGCCGTCCGGCAGTTCGGTTGAAGAACCGAAGCCAGGACGTAGCACGTGTCCAAGAAGTGACTGACGACTTTCTGGGCCGTGGGGCCACCTAAGTCCAGAAAGGTCGTGTCTATATCCAAGTTGTCGGCAAAGGACACACCTCTTGTTAACGCTACTTCGGAGATACCACCCCGCCCTCCGCATATCTCCATCATGTCGTGGTAGCCATGTTTACCTTAGCTGAGGGGCGATCTGATGATGTATACGTGGGCCTGTTGGGGCTTGCTCCGGATGTGCATGTCCAAGACAACATGATTGTAGTCGGTGTCGTCGTCTCTGGGTTCGAGGCCTTCCAGTTGGACATCCTACATAACTGGCGTAATGTTTTTGGCCAAACAACTAAGGTCACCCCTGCAATCGGCATTGCCGTCGTCTACGTGTTTGGGGATGTTATTTGGTTTAATGGTGGTTCCTGTGTCTTTATTTTGCTTTTCGTTCTGCCGCGTTCTTGCGTCAGTAAGGAGAGAAGTCCTTGTTCCATGACCTGCTTTCGGAACTGAAGAAATGAAAGTAGGGGTCCAACCATCAGCCATAATTGGAGGGGGAGGACATTCGGCACCTAGGATGACGATCTTTCTTGACGTCTGTGGGTGATGGGCGTCAGCTGCAATCTTCTCCTCCTTTTTAGAGTACAGTCGTGCACGTATATTATTGACGTACTTGCTTTGGCGTCAGGTAAACAGCAGCGGCGGGGTTGCTGCGTTCCTGCCACGAAGGCAGTGGCAGTGATCTGACTCAGGCGCAAGTCGCGACACATTGAAACTGGTGGAAGAAGCGGGTCGGGAGCAGGGCGCCAGAAAACGAGGAAAATAATGCGAGGCCCGAAAGAACACAGAGTAGAGAGAACTACTGCCCTCGTCGTTTTCCTCCTCGTCCTCCTCCTCCTTCTTCCCACCTCTTCCTCCCCGTGCCTCTACCATAAGCTTTGCCCTCGGCACCACGTAGTTTGAAGGCACAGCTCATGGCACAGGCAGAGTCTTAAGGCTTAATTGGGGGTGTATTGCGGCACGAGCCTATCTTCTCTTTCCGAGCCGTGGAGCAGCACCCAGAAGGAAATGGGGAGAGAAAGCCGCTCCACTGAGAGCGCCCAAGGCCCTCCCCCCCTGTGGATGATTGTGGGTTGCGTGGGGGGCGGTGTGCAATTTTGCCAGAGCGTCGCCTGACAAGGCTTGCCCTCTAGACGGGAAGATCTGCGAGAGCCTTGACTTCGAACAGCGTGCCCTCTCATGACGACGGTGGCCACACATGGTGCTTTCACTGGCGAGTGCGACTACGGCTGCGGCTGCTACAGCTATTGATACCGCCAATGTTACTATCAAGACGACGGCGGATGTTACCACTACAAGGCTAAATGCGTCAAACTATACTGCGACTAGTATTACCTCTGCTTACCCTACTACCATTACAACCACTCCTTCTACGAGTGCCATTACTACTGACACTACTGACGCTGATGACTTAGACCGCGTGTCGAAGAGGGTCGATTTCCAAGCATTGAGTCCACCGAATTCTCGCACCCACCGATTTCCCAGGATCGCTGCACCTCTTCGTACTTCGTCCCCCTCCAACTCCTCCCCCTCATGTGGATGATGATGTCATCGACATGGAGGCCCTCACAATTTTCGAATGCAAGGGCCACCCGTGTTGCTTGTCCCGAATGCGTCAAACGCTTCCAGGCCAAACGGCCAATGGAGATTCACACACACACACACCTTTCAAGCATGACGAGGGCCATGCGTGCCTCAGGATCGTTGCGAGTCGATGTCCCTGATGCGTTCGTCCTTCCTTTGGGCATGGGCGTCAATGCTGCAGCAAGCCAGCGCGGGGGGAAATCCTTGGGCACAACCGTGGGTTCAATGCCTGATAGAATCGAGACTGCTCGTCGTCATAACGTCGAATGTGCCACCGCTGTTCCAACCAGTTCTGATGCTCCTCCACACCTCGCTTGCGACTGGCTCTTCGCAGCTGGCTGCGCGGGCGCCGCCGGCCAAGCGCCCCAGGAGCCGAGGCACGGAACGCTCGAGCGAACCATTTGTTTTTTTCGCGCGCTCCACATGAAGGGGCAGCAAGCTCTGCTGGTTTCTGAATGTGGCTACCACGCCACTTTTCAAAAGGCAGCATGGCAACGAGCATCTGATCGCTATACACATGAGGTGCTGGGCAAAAGGTTAGCCACATCGAGACAACCATAAGCAATCGACGATTGCGGCAGGCTTGCTCGTGTCATGGGTGGCCAAGACATCTCAAGGCTCCAAGAGCACCGCACGCCGTGATGAATCGTCCAAGGTTGCGGGTATGATGGGGTTGGAAGGCCAAGTCACGGCGTTATCTTCCACGGTGTCTACATTAATTAACCACGCGCCGAGGCATTGAGGGCGAGATTCGAACATCTGGCTGTCAGCGCTCAGCCTCACAACGCTTTGAACTACAATGTTGTTTCTCTGATCGAGTTGAATGTTCCTCCCTACTGTTGCTACTGCAGCTGTCGCTCCACCTCAAGCAAGCGCGTTCACGTCTACGACTACGAATACTTGACCAAGTACTACGAAATTGCTTGCTAAGAGAACTGGCAACATTAGCACTGGAACAACTGCGACTACGACAGGCTACTAGTACGATTCTCCGGATGCAAGCCGATCGACTTGAGCGCCAACTGATGTGAGTACGGCTGCGTGTGCGAAGACTGGTGCTGCAAATACTGTTGTGTTCTCACTTGCTGCCTTCCCTCGTCCTCCTGCTCCGCCCTGGTCCATTCTACCTGGGCGTCATTCGGAGGCCTGGAAATGGGCACCAATACCAACACAGGGGTTTGCCTCCACAGGGGGAAGATGATCCTAGATTTCGGTGCTGGTGGTAATCCGAGTGAAGGGGCTGAACCGAACGGTCATTCACTGTCCCTGGGTGCGTGGCTGAAGTGGAATTCTGCGATGCGAATTATTCTTGTTCTTGTCTGTTGTTTGTTGTTTGTTGCTTGTTGTTTTTTGTTTGTTGTTGTCGTCGTCCCACCCACGACCCGCCCCGCGACCCACCCGCGACCCACCCCGCGACCCACCCGCGACCCACCGCGCGACCCACCCACGACCCACCCCGCGACCCACCCGCGACCCACCCCGCGACCCGCCCGCGACCCACCCCGCGACCCGCCCGCGACCCATCTCGAGACCTCCGTGCGACCCACCCGCGACCCACCGGCGACCCACCCGCGACCGCCCGCGACCCACCCCGCGACCCACCGCGACCCACCCGCGACCCACTCGCGACCCACCGCGACCCACCCGCGACCCACCCGCGACCCACCGCGACCCACCCGCGACCCCACTCGCGACCCCCCGCGACCCCACCCGCGACCCCCCCGCGACCCACCGCGACCCACCCGCGACCCACCCGCGACCCACCCTGCGACACCCAAAATTTTCGGCACCTGCGGCGGGTTTCTTTTGCATTCGTTCCAGGTGGAGAACCTGCGACCCACCCGCGACCCAAACCGCGCCCGCGACGCACCGCCTCTGACCCGCGACACACCCGCGACCCACCCCGCGACCCACCCCGCGACCCACCCAAAATTTTCGGCGCCTGCGGCGGGCTGTTTTTGAATTCCTTCTCGGTGGAGGTGGAGAGCCCGCGACCCACCCGCGACCCAAACTACGTTCACTGAACAAGCCAAAACTTCGGCGCCTGCGGTGGTTTTTTTTTGCTTTCGTTCCAAGTGGAGAACCTGCGACCCAAACCGCGTTCAGTGTAAAAATCAAAATGTTCGGCGCCTGCGGCGGGCTGTTTTGGAACTCCTTCCAGGTGGAGGTGGACAGCCCGCGACCCAAACTACGTTCACTGAACAAGCCAAAACTTCGGCGCCGCCTGTGGCGGGCTGTTTTTGGATTCGCTCCAGGTGGCCCACCAGCGATCCCCCCCGCGCTGAACTTGTTAGAGTACGCAAATCGGCGCCTGGCGGGCTTGCTCGCGTTGGTTTGGGAAAGCGCCCTCTTGCCATTCCCCCGATCCAGCCCACGTGACTCTACAACAACACATGGGCGCCTGCGGCGGGGCTGTGTCTGAACACGTTCAGTGACAATCCTGTTGCCTGCTGTCATTCGGCATCCGTGCACAAAGCCTGGGTTCAGGGGAAGCTGCCTCAAGGCGCCCACAATTAAGGGGCCTCGGGGCGCTCAAGGACCCTCCTGAGGGGGGGGCCATCGACAGGGAAGGTGAGGGCCACGAGGTCCGCCGGCTCGACGCCCGCGTCGCCCGCGCCCGCCCCCTCACTCTTATCCGCAATTGCGGGGTGCTACGTATTTCGGCCACCGTGGAAGCCAGAATATTACCACCATCACCGAGACGGGGATCTTCTTCCCTCGGTGGAGGTACGCCGCCGATATTGGTGCTGGTGTCAACCTCGAGGCCTGCGAGTCCTGCCTCCACTCACCCAGCGCGTCCACGCTCGCAGCAGACCCCAGCGCAGCCGGC